AAAAACAAAAACAACAAAAACAAAACAAAACCGAGGCGAATTTTCAACTCCGTCGCTGACGCCGGAGTATAAAGTCCAAACAGCATTAAATTTGTATTTCAGAATAAGTATGCCATACAACTCTGTTGTATGTAGAAGCAAAAGTAAAGAAAACAAGGAAAATGAACAAATTGAGCAATTTGCATACCACAGGTAAGTTCACAAAATTCACAAAAATAGATAAAAACTTTAGATTTTTTATTTTTAGATACACAAATGGACTTATAATACATAAATATTTCTTAAATAAGGTTCCTCTTAGAAAATAAAGAGAATTTTGAAAAATGGGAACAGGAAGTCAAGAGAATGAGAAAGGATGGTGAATGCTGGAGAGCAACAAAACATAGTTTTCTTTGATGTAAGCATTTCGAAATCAGTGATTACATACAGCCTCCAAACTCAACTGGTTCATGCCCTCATTATTATCATCATTATCAATTATTTTTCAACAACATATCAGCAACAAGCCGATTGAAGCAGCCAGAAAATAACTTACGTGCTGGAAGCAAGAGATGTCAGCTATCCCAAGAAGAACCATCATTTGCGAAAGTTCAGATAAACATGAGCTACGAATCTAATCTACTAAAAATCTTCAAGAAAGCGGTGGAGAGTGCAGAAATATCGAAGAAGCAATTAAAGTTGTTACATGATACCTATCATGTAGTTATAATATATATTCAATAAACTTTAGTATAACCTTAGTTAACCTTACATGCATGAGTAAGGGAATATTTGCGGAGAACCTCATCCCGCAAACCAACAAACGTAAACGACATAGCTTGGTTTGGGGCTAACCATTGTTTATTTGCTTATTCACGCTGTATTGCGTAGGGAAAATGTGTCACAGTTCTATAGTTTCTTCCCCTACCAAACAATATAAAAGTCGGAGCACAACTCTCGAAAGCATGCATTATTCATAAGGCGCTAGCCTGAATAGCATCATTACTTTGAAAACTATTTAAAGAAGTAACGTGGAAAGAACCACAAATCACAAGAACTAAAGAGAACCTTTACAAAAGAAAGAAACGGAGTTGTCAAGATATCGAGAGTTGTGCTCAGTCAGATAAGTCGAACTGTTATAAAGTAATATTATATATATCAAAAGACGTTATTAATTGTTTAACTATAAGTATAGCATCAAAGAATAAATCATTGGAAAGTAATCGGTTTCACAATCTTTGTTGCGAGCGAATTGAGCCAAAAGCGCAGCCATTATAATAGTTAAAAGGACCGGCTCGTAACAAAGTGTAAAGTGAGAAATTTACAGCAACAACTCCGCAGATGCAAAACCAAACTATCCACTATGTCAGTTATCATCAATAATCTGCAAGAAAACCTAATTGTCAAAACTGAAATTGCTGACCGACTCCATGCATCATTTGACAAACTCCAACTGTCTATTTTTCATAATGTAAAAAATAATAATGTTACCTCTCCAAATGGCAGAAAATATAGTGATGACATAAAAGAATTTTCTTTAACTTTATATTTTTACTCTCCCAAAGCATATGAGTATGTGCGCTCAATCATACCATTACCAAACCCATCGCTCATAAGAAAGTGGTCGAGTTCAATTGATTGTGAACCTGGTTTCATTGATGAAGCATTCCAATCTTTGAAAGCCGAAGTAGATAAAACACCTGCCAAAAAGATTGCTCCTTGGTGATAGATGCTATGTCCATTAGAAAACAAACACTTTGGGATCCAAAAAAGGAGAAGTGTTTAGGATTTGTAAACTTTAGCAGTGTTTACACTAGAGACCTATACCTGACCTAAGACCTAACTTAAGCAGTTAGTCCTGGGGCCGGTTGTATCAAGCCCGTTTAGCTTAAACGGTGGTTAAGTTCAAAATAGAAAGCAAGTCTATCGTTTTACTCAACAAGCAAACTAAATGTTTTTAACCTTAATACAAAGATACTGTTTACAACTACATATTCAGTGCATAGAATTCAGGTTGACTCATTCAAGAGAGTTGTAAGAGTGTTATTTAATTTTGACTTATCCACCGTTTAAGCTAAACGGGCTTGATACAACCGGCCCCTGTAGTGTAAACGCACTAGGACTGACCTAAGACCAACCTAGGACCGACCTAAGACCATGATTTCAGGCCAAGCATTAGAGGTGGCCTGAAAACATGGTATTAGGTAAGTCCTAGGTAAGTCTCGGGTCAGTCTTGCGGTGTAAACACATTTTCATTAACCCAAGTGTGATGGAAGTTAATTTCCATGACAACAAACGTAAATTCGAGTCTTTGATGTCAGCATTTAGCGGTCTTGAAATTTTAGCGCGATTTTGAAAAAATTAGGGGGAAATTCAGAGTTGATAATTAGCTACATTGCGAATTTCGGAACTTGCCGATAAGTTATATCACACATTTCTTAATTTTGCATGAAATCGTTGTTTGCCATTAATCCCAGTAATCACTACGTCGTATTCTTTTACGAGGCTTTGTAGTTTGTACGAAATAAACAAACAAAGAACTGCAAGCTTATTTTAATACTCTTCTCAAAGTACTTTATGTTGCGTGTATGTATATAAGTCCCGTTAGGTAACTGGTGTATAACACATCCTGTAAAACTTGTTTAGGTACTTCTCAGGTACGGGTAAATGTCAGGTAAATGTCAGGTAAATGTCAGCCCCTTCGTGTAAACACGGCTTATGGCCCTAAACCACCAGAGGATCCAGACATGCTTCATGCTTGCAACAGAAGCACTTGTTTTTCTTTTAGTTGGAACACGTACCAGCAAATTGAATGCCTCACTTCAAGCACAACTAGTTAGGATGGCTCTTGAAAAAACAGCTGATGTGGAATTACGAGTATGGACACTAACATCCGATGGTACATCCGTCAATATTAGCACATTTGAACAATTGGGCTGCATATTTAGTACCACATATGAATCCATGGTCACCAAATTCAAGCACCCATCAAAGGACTACTATGTTTACATCATTTTAGACCCTTGTCATATGTTGAAACTCGCCAGAAATGCTTTGGGAAGTATTGGATCCTTCTTTGATAACAATGATAGCGAAATCCAATGGGTGTACTTCCATAATTTACATAATCTTCAGGAAGCTGAATGTCTGAAGTTGGGTGACAAGTTTTCATCACAACATCTGAAATATGAAAAACATAAAATGAATGTGGGGTTAGCAGCACAAACATTAAGCAATTGAATTCATTGATTTTGGAATGCAGATGCCACAATTTAAAAACAGCAAGGCCACAGTTAGCTTTATTAGAATGATTGACCGAGTTTTTGACATTCTAAATTCAAGGAACCAAATTGGACAAGGGTACAAACAACCCCTAAGACCCTCATAAAAAAAAAACATGGGAACCTATCCTCAAATCTACAGCAGATTATCTCCTGTCACTATACTACTATTCCACCATTAAAAAAAAACATGAAGAAGAAAAAGTTCCTCTCAACACACAGGAGAAAGATTTTCATAATTGGTTTTGTTGCAACGATAAAATCAACGATTGAAATGGCAAGCGAAATGTTCTCGATCACTGAAAATCCTTTCAAGTATTCGTTCTCACGTATAGATATTCACAAGACCATGTAGAGTTATCGTTCTCATGCATTAGATCTAAAGGTGGATGGAATAACAACGCTAACAGCTTGCAACTTAAATATGCGTTGAGGAAGATGCTCTTCAGAAATGCTGTCACAGCCTCCAAACATGCCAACTGCATTGAATTTTCCGAATATTCCTCATCGATAATTCCAATTTTTCACCAAAGAAAACACAATTCTCCTCTGATTGAAGAGAAGACTGAAGTCAAAGATATCAACAATTTCACCCCATCAGAACAAATGCTGCTAGAGCAGTTGGACCAAGGAGGGCATTCTGAGTTTATTGAAAATATTTTGTTCTACATTGGTGTTGGTGGGTTTGTCGTTAAGAAAATATCGAAGTCCGTTACCTGCACAGCTTGTATAAGCAGCCTCACATCCAGTTTCAGCATACCAACACTAGAACATGCGTGATTACTGTGGCTCAAAATCAGGAAGAAATCCTTGTGATCCACCTGCCTCAGCCTTCACACAGTTTGAAAACCGGAGTGGTTTGACCAATCCATCGAAATCGGTCTTCCCCGTTTTCAAATACGCGGAACATGTTTTTAAAGCGATTGTCAGCAAGGATGGGAAACAAATCAGTTCGAACGAAAAATTACGCAGCAAAATGATCTGGGAGGTCTGCCATCACTTCATGGCAGATGAATGTTGTCGATCAACTGTCTTCGCTGATCACAAACCCGGATTAAATGGCATTCATGACAACCATAGAGTGAAGCTAATTAAATCACGGCCGACTGATATTTTACGTTTCGTCTTTTCACGTACGGCAAGCATCATTCCGAGTCCCTTATACAAGAAGGCAAACCTAGTGAAAGATTTCAATTAACAAAGTTAATTTTATTCAAAAATCAGCGAAAAATCACTTGATATTCTTATTTAAACGGATAATTATACTTATCTTTTGATAAAACAAATATTTTCACTACAATTGTATTCTGTTGTTGTTGAAATCGAGGTTGAAATTTGAATATATCTTTGTGAATTTGTCAAATAAATTTTCCTCAGAAACAGTTGATCGTCTTCTTTCTTGAACAATATTTCCCTGATTGCTTTTCATTTGCATATGACGTTTTTATCGGCGCCGGCCAAATGCAGAAAAAATGCATGAAAAACAGAAGAATAAAACACAAAAAAATATCATTTTTTTCGAACACGCATTTCAAGTCATGCGATCCAGCAACGAACACGAGAACGTTTAACGGAGGGGGGAAGTCATTTTCGCGGGAGTTTGGCTTCAACCAATCATAAGGCAAATCTTAGGAGTTAGCCTTCCAGATTTTATTAGAGTTCACTGGGCGTGTATCTATGACGTAATCACTGAAGTTATCTCAGTTACCTTAATTTAGATTTCATGAAGTTCTTCTTGAATCTTAAATCTTGAATCTTGAATCTTGATATTCAATAGAGCCTTGGAATGAAAGATGAAAGCTGTAGCCGTTTTGTAGTTCAAATGTACATATGAATCAATGACTCGAGGCACTTGGTATACTTTAATGATATGGAATGGTTTATAAGGTGAGTGGTTACGTGTTTTCAGTCGATAAATTTATACGCCTGTTTATGTATTGTACGGCTGTTTTATATGTATTGCTATTTGATCTTTAACATTAATTAAACAGAAATAGAGAAATTGCGTTTCATTAGGGTTAAAGGATATTAGCAATGATAGTTTTCTTGGTCTTGGAAATGAGATCGAAATCTCTGTTACAAGATTTTTATATCTTATTTACTTCTTCGTGAATATTGACTAAAGATATTGACTGACAATTATGTATCTGTCAAAGATTTTGTATTTAAACATTAACGTTTTAGTGGCGCTCTAATTACATGTTTAACTGGGGGTGGGTGTATATTTATGTATTTATCATTTAACATCACAAGTAGTTTATTTATATGAAACATGTGCTATGAATTTTCACACCATTATAGTAAGGGAGGGTCAATTTATAGGAGGGTTTATATATACATTTCTGTAAAAGATGTTGATTAATAAAAATCTCTTACAAACCACCTTTTCAATTATGTCAGGCTACAATAGCAGATAGTTTGCACAACTGTATATCCAGATATCAAAAGACTCCAACTATCCTGGAGAAACTACCCGAGGGAAATAGTGAGTTGTTTTCCCAAAAGTCTAACACTCGAGGGAAAACATTGAGACTCAAGGAAAGACAAAACTCACTATTTCCTACATTAAGTGCTTAAATGTTATGTAGGAACATAAAAAATACATGTTACACAACAATTTCGTTTAAAAAAAACAAATTACTTTGTTATGACAATATGCAACAATGCCAGGGAAACATTGCATTTATTTAAAATCATGTGACTATGAATGAACCAATCACATTTAAAATGCATTGCATTTATATAACAATTAGAAATATATTCCTTAGAGATATATTTTCTGACTATGAATGAACCAATCACATTTAAAATGCACAACACCTATATAACAAATAAAAATATATTCCTTAAAGATAAATTTTCTATTCCTGTGTTTTCAACTGGAATATTTATTTTGCTAACCTGTGCACCAACTATGGCCTGGTTTATACTATACCTCATTTGCATGGTCACAGTGTCAAAATTAGACATGTCAAAGTGCGTTTCACCCCCCAAAGGTTGATAGCATGCCAGCTTTTATAACATGATGTGCCAAATGAAAATGTTCTGGAGATAAAACAACTTCACCATATGAATCCAGTGTAGTGTAAACAGGGTCTATGATAAGGAATTTTGCTTTGAACTAATCAACAAACTTGTTTACATTGCTTTGGCTAAGCGAGTTAGAATGTCTAAATTTATAATACTTCATTTAAATATTAAAGTGGTTAATATTTGTGCATTCTGATTGGGGTCACTAAAAATAGAAACAAATTTTATGATTGGTCGAAAACGAGATTCCTCCTTGTTATCTATAATACTAATAGCGTAGTCCATATTTTGACTCAGTGTGCTTAAATTGTGCTTCGGGTGGTTATGTTTTTCTCATTTCAATACGTTATTTAGCAAGAGTAAGAGGAAATATCCAATCAACGATGAGCAAAAAGAAATTAAACCGTACATGGAAAAGAAAATTTATGAGAATCTTAATTTAACAAAAGAGGAAATAAAAGAAATTGTTGTTCTTCCTGCTGGCATGGATATAAATGAATGGCTAGCTACACACAGTAAGTTTGTTTGTAAAGCTTTTACAGTAATTCTTTGCAGGGGTTTCGAGAGGATGAGTGGGCTGCAGGGAAATTTTTTGGTCAGGACCTTATCCATATTTTAAGTTCTACTGTTTGTTGTGTGATATATGCAAGCACAGTTATTAGAATATACATGGCTTGGAGACCAGATAAAACTACAATGCATCTCATTAACTATGTTGAGGTACATTTATGCAAAAAATTGTTCCTTTCTCATCACATGTCTATTGTATTTTGCACAGATAAACCAACATAGCAATCTTATGATTAACATATTTTTCAAGTCAAGGTTGATGAGCTTAGCAACTGCCAAGATGAGTGCCATTGGTAAATTTTGCTAAAATACAATAGACACGTGACGAGAAAGGAACCATTTTTTGCATAACTCTGGACAATAACATAGTTAATGAGTTGTATTGTGCCTTTATTTAGTGTCCAAACCATGTATATTCTATTAACTGTGATGCAAGCCAATGTGTTAAATGGGGTAATTACCCCTTTCCCCCACCTCTCGATGCCAATGATTCTTTGATCTAATTTTATTTCATGTGCACATCCAGACCAATGCATGTAATCTATGAGCTATGACGTTGGTGAAATTTTAATATTAATTTCAATGTTACGCGGTTGCGAGAAGATATGGATTTTATGTTCGAGTGGCAAAAACAAACGAGTGAGATATTGTTTTTGACACGAAATAAAATCCATATCTTTGAGCGAACCATGCAATGTTCTGTATATTATATGAACAAACATTAAAAGAAACTCACTAATGAAACGAAACAAAGCGGGAAAACTCGCGTGAGTAAACACACGCATTACATATATGAGTCTTTTAGTTTTCTGTAAATCATCTATGTCCATATAGAAAAATTATTCATTTGGGGAATAATTTAGTTGGTTAAATATGTGTCAATTAATTTATAGGTCATAGGTTATCAAATATGTAGGGTGGTGCATGAGTATCTAGAGAGAGAATCGTGTAAGTCGTGATAGTGAGAGGGTGGTTTATCTGTGATCCGAATAATGAGGAAAAACTAACGTGTGTGTGTGTGTTGGATTGCCTCTAACGGCAATTCCTGTCACAAGTGGCACCTCTGACAGGATATAATTCTCCGACGCTTTGGCTGGACAATCATGTCCCCCGGCGAGAAAGTGAACATCGATAACATGTTTCTAACTCAAGTTCATCGCGAACATTACGAACATTTGTTTAGGCTGGATATATTAGGCTTGCAAGACTCCGCAACTGGTGACCAAAAGAATGTTTACAGTGAATTTAAGGAACAATGATTTAGAAGTAAAGAAGGCTGGTACGAAACCAGTCTTGTAGAAGGGAAACGTCCCCCATTGCCAAGCAACAAATCTGGGAGCTTAACGCATTTGATTCTTGAATACACTGGTGAGTAAGTTAGAGAGACAGAACCTGGAAATTACGAGATTATAAGAGAACAGATAAAGGAAGGTATCCTAGAGAAAACTGATAAAGAAGTATAAGGTAAAGAGTTTTACTTACCCCCATAAAGCTGTGATAAGAGAATCAACGGAGACCACAAAGCTTAGAATTGTGTTTGACGCATCGGCGCAGGAAAACGACGCTGCACCTTCCTTGAATGAGTGTCTCGAGACAGGAAAACCCCTTCAGAACCACCTTTGGCAAGTGTTGGTGGAAATAGATTCCACCTGGTGACCTGAACCGGAACGAAGACCGGGACGTCATGCGGTTCCACTGATGCAACGATCTAAAATCAGAGGGGTGGGGGTTAACCCTTTGCTTCGCTACGAAAACCTTATTCGGACTATCCCCCTTTCCCATTCCTTCTCGGTTGGTGATACAACAACACCTGCAGTAACACGAGCAACAAACGAAAAGCGAAACAGTCCAAAAAGCTAAATCAATCAGAAGTAGATATTCAACGATGCAACGTTTCAGTTTGAACTGCATGTCATTCCAATGTGCCTGAACTCGAAGCAGAAGAATCACATACGTCATCGCTGACGGGGAAGACGTTCGCAAAACAACAAGTTGGGAGTCAAATTGGGACAAGCGGCTCTTCTCGGTCTTCCCTGGGACAAGAAGCAAGATGCTATTAACGTCAGCATACCCACAGAGAGAGCTGAGCCGACGAAGCGAGGAGTCCTTGGTAAGATCGCGAAGATTTACGACCCCTTTGGGCTGATATCACCGGTGACATTGGAAGGAAAAGTCTTTAACCGGGACTGTCGTTACCCGAAACTGCTTTGGGACGAAACTACCGAACAAACTAGAGATAAGGTGGTCAGCATGGGAAAGCAACCCTCCAGATCATGTAAGTGCCCCAAGAATTTGGCCAGATTCCACGAGCCAATCCAAGAAATCGAGCTCCACACCTTTTGCCATGCAAGTTGACAAGGAGTCCCGGCTACAGTAATGGTAGTCGTTCGACAACCGAGTAGTATCACCCAAGGTCTAGTTGTCTCAAAGTCGCGGTTGGCCAAGAAGAACCTTACCATGTACCTGGTCTAGAACTCGTGTTCGCTCACATGGCCGCTAACCTAGTCGACAATGTTCGGAAGGCGTTGGAAGGATTGATCTGTGTGATGTGTTCGGTTGGTTTGACAGCACGGTAACTCTCTATTAGATACCCGATGGTGGTGATTTAAAACAGTTCGTGGGCAATTATGTGCGGAAGATTCAGCAGTAGAAGTTCATCCAATTGAGGCATGTTCCCACCCAAGAGAATCCTGCCGATCTTGGAAGTAGAGGAGGAAGCGTCAGCGGTTCCAATTGTCTTTGGTTGAAGGCCCAGAGTGGATGGCGGCCAAAGAGAACTGGCCAGCAGATTTCGTGACAAGCCCTAGTTAAGAGAGTATGGCAGTATATTCTGCACACTGTAATTCAGAAATCGGACGTGTTATTCAGAAACCGGACATATTGGAAAAGTGTATAGCTTTTGGAAAACCCTGAGAATATATGAATGGATCTCACGATTCATCCGTAACGCTAGGAACGTGGAGAAAAGCAAACATGGTCCCTTGTCAACTGGAGAGGTAAAAGAACAAGAAATTTGGTGGCTAGCGAGGGTACAACAGAGGAACGAGCATTCACCCGAATTCGAAGAAGGTCGTGCTAGGCTCAACCTGACATTCTCGAATGCCACGGTCGCATACAAGGAGACTACCAGACAACGACTTGTACACGGAGAAACTAATAGAGCACTCCCACAAGGTGACCCTCCATGGGGGGTGGGGCTGACGATGACGAAAGTGTGACAGAGATACTGGATTCCACGGCTGAGAAGACTCTCCAGACGCGTCATCGAGAAGTACTTCGGCTGCAAACGATTCCCCAAAGATCGAATCGAGGGAACCTTTCCTTTCCAAGTCGTGGGGGTCGACTACGCAGGACCTATATGGTACCATAAACGAGGAAAGAAAGAGGTAGATGGAAACCCAGAACATTTTGTGTCTTCATTTACGGCACCTCCGACCTTTTTCTCATTTTCCCATTTGCAGGGTGCCCACTACCAGCACCATCATACCCACCATCATTCCCTCCACCAGCATGGTATACCCCATGGACCCTTCCATTTCCCAATCCTTTCTACTCTCGAATAAGCTACCAGTGGCCTAGTTGTTTAACATTGGTTTACTGGTTAAATTTAAATGTAATGTAGTATTTGGTTTTCTGAACTGTACAGCAATGAGTAGATCCTACCTCAAGACCCTGTTATGGTACAGATGATACTGTTATTTCATGAAGAGGAAAATAGACAGTTGGACCACGTGAAAATAAGAGAAGCAAATGTTATTTGCTTGGCAATTTGCAATTTTGCAAACGGCAAATTTTACAAGTTTGACTTTGAAGGGCTCGGACAATTTTTTTTAGTATTTTTATTGGATTTGTTGACATTTTTAGGTTAATATTAGAGAACACTCTTTTTGGAAGGGGAGTGTTTGGCGTAGCTATTTAAGATCGCCAATAGCTTAATTAGGATTGCTAGTCTTGGGTACGCTATAGAAATATTCACGTGAACAAGCAGCATTCTTTTCATTTTATATTTCACAATATATTCGACGTAAAGTGAATTAAACCACAAAAATGTAGCATTCCGTGTAATAGTTTGACGGGTAACAAAAAGTTTAACGATATCCTGGCAAAGATGTCAATCAAGTGGCAACTCAGCATGAGCTGTGCACCCTGGTGGGGTGGGCAGTATGAGAGGTTGATTGGACTGGAAAAGCAAGCTTTGTATAAGTCAATTGGTGACGGATATTTATCCTGGTCCGAACTGGAAGACGTGATTCTGGACATTGAAGTGACCTAACTAATCGGCCGCTAAGCCACGTTGAAGATGATGTCCAGTGACCAATATCAACACGAAATGCGTTGCAATTTGGCTAACCGAATATTCTACCGGAACAACAGTAGGATCGTATCGAAAACTGAATTTGGCGGAATTGGCAAAAGTCACAATTCTGTATGTTGCGACAGACGTCACCTTGTCTAGGCATTGGGAAGGCATTGAAATTTGCTCTATCCTTGGATGATTGGATCCCTAGTTCTACATCCTGTATAGTTAAAGAAACACGCGTGGAAGTTTGGGAGAACGAGGAATAATCTGTGGACGAAAGCGAGCTCGTAGGGCGAGTTTTTTCAGCTTATTTCTAGTACCCCAAAAATTCCACAAGTGTTTCCGTGTAACTGTATATAAACAAAGAAAAAATGTTTTCTATTTCTTTTACAATATAACTCAAATAATTTATTATAATTCGATTCAATTAAATTCAAATTACATTACTTCGCTTGTCAATTTCGGCGTGAGAAGTCCTGTGTTTCTATTTAACAATTAGTCGCCTCAGGCTTGGTGATTACAATCCTATATTGAGCCGAAGGAGAAGTTTTAGTATAAATTTCACTGGCCGCTGACTATAGCTTTTTGTTGTTGTTTTTCAAATAAGAAATTTGAAGTAATTATAATTTTTTCGAAATTATGTTGATTATTATTTGCAAACACCTCGAAATTTATACTAAAACTAGTAGCCGCCTCAGGCTCGGTGATAATAAGCCTATATTCACTCCGCCTTCAGCTCAGGGAATATAGGCTTGTAATCACCGAGCCTGCATGAGTCGACTAATTGTTAATGGTCAAGGATCTTTATGAGTTTGTATGCATGCATTTCATTTAGGACAGGTAAACTGTTTTAGGGTAAGTTGCCCATGGCAATCAACATGGTAACGCTGCCGAACTACAACTCAGGGCGAAACATCCGAAACTGACCACGCCCAAAAAATGGCACATGCTAACTGCCAAACCAAAATAGCTTTGACTAATCTGAGTCGCATATATGGTTCAGAGATGGTGCTTTTAGGTGTGGTCATTGGTAAGTTGAAAATGCCTAGCACTAATACTTTACAAGAAAATGACCATGCAGTACCCTATACACAAGTGTCAAATTGTGGCTTACTACTTCAAATAAACAGCAGTGGGCCTGCACTGCCTTTCCCCCTAGTCTTTTTTATAGAAACATAATTCGTACATTTTTAAATATATTATCACTGTTTGGTGTAAAAAAGTTAATATTTTTGGTGACTGAAATATTAATTTGAAATTTACTTACTTCCTGCAAATGGACGCATTTCGCCGAATTCCCAAGTTTACTCCCGTGTTTATCAGCGAAAATCGTTTGAATCCTTTCGAATATGAAAGCCGGTCGAGACATAATAATATCATTGACATTTTTAACAAGTTTCCAGAAGTTTTCCAGCAGAAATTTTACAGGGTGGTAAAATGCTGTATTTGTCATATTCTATTTATTCATATTTTTAATTTCAAGTCCGTTATAAAGGTCAGATTTGTTAATTCTGAAAAAGATTGGGGGATTGTTAATAATCGACACGGGATGACACAATGGCGCCGTATTTGGTCAAAGTTAGGGTTTTACATTGTCGATGGTTAAACTGTTGAAATCTACTTGAAAACTTCTGGAAACGTATTAAAAAGGTAAATGATATTATGTCTCAACCGTCTTTCATATTAAAAAGCATTCAAACGATTTTCGCTAATAAACACGGGAGTGTACTTTGGAATTTGGCGAAATGCGTCCATTTGCAGGAAGTAAGTAAATTTCAAATTAATATTTCAGTCACAAAATATTAATTTTTTTACACCAAACAGTGATAATATATATTTAAAGATGTACGTAATTATGTTTTAGTAAAAAATTTGGGGAAAAAGGCAGTGCAGATCCACTGCTCTTTATTTGAAGTTGTAAGTCACAATTTGATACTTGTGTACGAGTATTGCATAGTCATTTTCTCGTAAAGTATTAGTGCTAGGCATTTTTTACTTACCAATGACCACCCCACCATTTCTGAAACGCACCATCCTTGAAACACATAAGCACCTCAGATTAGTCAAAGCTTTTTGGTTTGGCAGTTAGCACTATAGTGAATGAGCCGTTTTTTTGGGTGTGGTCTGTTTAAAATGTTGCGCCCTGTGTTATCGTTTGGGCAGCGTTACCATGTTGAACGCCATGGTCAATTTACCCTAAAACAGTTGCGGTTAACTGTCATAAATCAAATGCATACAAACTCATAATTTTTATACAGGTCTTTGAATATAAATAGAAACACACTTCTCGACCAATCTGCACGCGCGTACTATAGATGTTGTATTATAAAGGATAATAGTTGCGAGGCGAAAGTGACCGCAGAGACAGAGTGGCCAAAAACGACATTCAGAACATCAATGTCGTAAACTTAACATCGTTTATTATACACACTTACCAGTCATCGAGGGAAAATTTTTCAAAAACAATTTTTGAAAAATCGAGTTTTGTAGGCGTCCCCTTTCTAAATATGCCTATAGTTGCGGTCCTGAAATATTGAAAAATGCGACAACTATTTATTAATTACGCGACATAAGGGATCATAATTGATCGCGTAGCGACAGCGATCTATAGTTTCGGCTTGGTTTTTTTTTTTATTTTCCTCTCGGGTCGACCCCCAGCGTCGCTAGCTGCGGGCCATATCACCCTAATCGGGAACCTGCGCACAGGTAAGTTGCTAGTTATATCACGTGTTGTATTCACTTTGGGCATATTTCGTTTCACCTTCGAACTTCGAAGCAGTAAAGTAGAATCAATAAAGCGATCAAAATGCTAGCAAGTGTTATCTTTATCTTTACACTCATTACACATACAACTAACTGCACACGCCGAGCAGAGTAAGCCTGCACTAAAGGATTTCAAGCAGTTTCGAAATGGGCTGTTTTGTGTTTCTCCTGCTTTCAACATGCGACTATAGTTCGGTATATTGTTCATTTTTATTATTAAGAACATTTACGACACAAAATTTGCATAGCTGGGCTGGCTACGCCGCTGTGAACGACGCGATCATATAACGCCTAGTAGGCGTCTTGTCGTTTTATTTTGCTTTATCTTTTGCAGCTATTTGTCCCCAGTTTTGAAAAATGATTAGGTGATCCCCTTCTCTCCCTACAGCATACGCCTGTGGTCGTGACACGAATTGCATGCTAACAAAATACCATCCCAAGATACAGCACGTTGAGAGATTCCTTCCGTTTAATTTTTAGTCTCCATAATCCATATTCTAGTTGATTCTTTTACTTTATTTAAACACTGTCGAAAAGAAACTATATCGCAATTCGCGCCTTTGCATCTTAAACAGCCCCGCAGGAATCCTTAAAGGTAGATTACAGTCGGTAATATAAACAAACGCTGTGTTTACATATTACATCGCTATATCTCTTAAAATATCCTGTCCTATCAGAATATTTATTACCATTTTAGTTCACTATATTTGTAAATTAGTAACAGATACAGCTCAAAGAAATTCAAAACATACAAAATTTGTGTAATTTCTAAATCATGGACCTAATTATGTTATGAGCGGAACCGACACGCAGAAGCCGTTGTGACCTGTCTTTAAATGTTTTTTTTTAATCTTTTTAAGCACTAACGCTGTTCAACAGCATCAATCACATTTATGGAGCAATTACGGAGTTTTGCACCGCAACCACATGCCCAACGATGACTGCTGGCACAGTGTAAGTGATGTGAAATTCGCTGGCTATGTTCACTGAAGATGTAAACGAATATAGATTTAATGGAAGTTTTCACAGAATTCGCGCTATATTAATCGGCTTTTGGCTCACCTTGTTTAATTAAACTCTAATATAATAAGGAGAAATTTTGTTTTAAACCAATCAGCAAATTTGTTTGCATTTTAGAATATAACCAATCAGAATGCACAACTATTGAAATATTTACCATTTTACATGAAATATTAAAAATTGGGGCAGTTTGCCGATTGGTTCCAAAATTGCTCCTTGTTTTCGAAGATATGGTTAGTGCAACAAGTATCAAGGTGAATTTAGCACCGGAAAGTGCATTGATATTTCCAAACTGCTAACAATCAGCATGCAAAATTTGCATTTTATTACGAATATGAGCAAAATAGTATATCATTCGCATACCGCGTATACAGGGTGTTTGGCTTAATAGATTGTTTAAACGGGAAATGGTTTATTCCCATCACTTTGCGAGTTCTTTCAAAATAATCTGATGAAAAGTTCTGATGAAAACTTTAGATAACAAGGTTTTTATGAACTGTAGTTTGGTGTCTGTAATAATGCATTCTAAATCAGGCTCTATATTCGCCGCTCTTTTAGCTATAGCGAATAACCACCAATACAAACTGTAAACTAAGCTGCAAGGCCTCAACACGTGTTATTTTCTCCTATAGTACCTAATTTGTGTAGGTAATCATGCAATGTTGTTCGCACAATTTGGGGTTGATGACTGATGATTTAGGGGGCTGTTTACATGAGCCCGGTTACCCGAGATTCATCGAAGCGTGAGATGATTTTGAGGTATTAAAATGAGCAAATAACATGATCCTGGCAGTCGTACAATCACCACAACAATAGCATGAGCTTGTTTGGTGTCATAACGACTTATTTCAATACCTGAAAGTCCTCTCACGCGTCGTTGAATCTCGGGTAACCGGGCTCATGTAAACAGCTCCTTAAAAGTTTGCCAATTTTGTCCAATGAACATTTAGTATTCATTACGTAATTTTGCATATTTTATAGCATGTACAGTTGGTACGGACGCAAGGGCAAAATATCGGCACCCCAATATATTGATCTAGTGATGACACATATACAAAAACATGTTGAAGATGAATCCTGTTTTCCGTCAAAATATGGTAAGATGTCTGCTAAGCTCTAACAGCAAGAAGTTGTTTTGAAGGGATTTCTGCCATTTTTGTTTTACCTTTCTCGCATTGGCGGATATCTACCAATTTTAGGATTCCTAAACGCGTGTAAACAAATCTAAAACAATAAAAAGAATTAACAATTAAGAGGGAAGGAGGGAATAACACCCCATGCACTACCTGATGTGTAGTGCAAAACGTCGGTCGCACATAAACCATTTGTCGTTTCTGTTTGTGTTGTTACGAAACCTTTGTTGAAGCAAGAAATATGATACTATACACTGTTCTGGGGCAAAAAAGACAATCAAGAAGGCTTTGGCATATATAAGCATTTCTAATGCTTATTGAATTACATGATAATGCATCCATCTTCATCGTCCGGCAGTACGTGATGTAAAGTGGTTCACCTAACACGAAATACCTAATTAGAAACGAATCCAGATGGCAAGGGTCGCGCGTGGAACATGTTTTATTTAGTTTTGAGGAGATTAAATTTCTGACTGTATGGTCATAATTTGAAAATTTCTAAATATGAATGTAATCCATATTAAATACGAATGGAATCCACATAGTCTATATTTCCGTTTAACGAACACAAGTTAAATACATTTCTATGAAAGTTCTTATTCAATATGTTCGAAATTTATCATTTTGTTTGTATAAAAATTATTATAGCTATTTTCACTCCAAAAGGCTATCGCCTTCTAGCTCGCCCCCCTCGCCTTTTCTAGACACTTATATCCCTGTGGTATTTTGCCTGGTACAGCGCTTCTGATCGACTTTTATATTTTTTCAAAATTTCCCATTCTGTAGGCTCGAAATTTCCCGCCAGTTTTGGCACGTCAGTAAAAAAATTCATCAAGCTGTTGCTACATGTTCTTGGACATTTATACTACAGTCATATCGCGGATGTCAGTGAATTGCAGCTTAATCCATATCTAAATACTGTTTTTATTCATTTAATGTATTTTGACAACAGATTTTCGTTACTAGAAGCAAAAGACACCGTGCCTTTAGACGATTTAGCCCAAGCTATGAATCTTAATCTTGATCCGATACAGAGTTAGAAAACAAATAATATATATACATATATAAATATTGGAAAGTTCATAAACAATATAATAAAACTGTTTTTTCTTTATATATCTACTGAAAATTTATTGTTGTTCCTTCTCGTCTATTTTACATATTATACTAGTTTGCCACTACGTAACTACACGTGTGGTTTTGGATTATTTACTGGTAATTATTTACATAAATATTTCACAGAAAATAAGATATGAAAATATATAACAAAATCTTACATAAACTGGTATTATTAGGTATTAACATAAATTTAAATCCGGCTGGAGTATAGTTATAATGTCTCTTTCCCAGGGTAAGGGTCTTAATGATATTTCCGTAATTTCGTAATAGCACAAGACAAGTTAAACATTTGAAGTAAACGACTAAATTTTTAATAGCAAACATGTTTCGGCTTACACTAAGCCAACTTCAGTGCGAAGTGGGCTAAGAATATTTACAGCAGGATGTGTGATACAATAAAGTGACATATGATACAAATATGAGATTACAATAACAAATACATGTGTCAATTATTATTTACAAAAGTGGGTTTTTATATTTACAAAATAGGGTCAAGTATATTTACAAGTTGAAAATGGTACAACCTCGTACCCAGGGTCTTTACTCTACTCGTGGGGAGAAAAGACCCTGGTTGGGGCTGGTCACGTGAGCAATTAAAATTCTATCGCCACAGGGGGTGTGGCAGAGTGTCGTATTCACTGAGCTATATAATAGCGACCTTAAGATTAGACGACGGTTAGTGGAGATGACGGTAACCGGAAATGAATTGAACTATTGAGCATGCGCAGTAAATGTTTTGAAAGAAATTGCTCCGTCCACATCACGACGACGACGCCATTTTTGCTGTTTTGCCGTTCACTAGAAAACGCCTCTTACTTTTCATGGATCCAAAGCCGTAAGTTTATTAATTTTTGTCTTTCTCGATTTGATGGAGAAATATGATTTTCCTGTGTGAGTTTTTCGTCGAATCAATGTGTAAATTTCGATTTTTCCTTGTATCTTTTAAGGAGGCAAATGGTTTGGTCGCGAGACCATGACGAGCTGTTGTGCAGGGAAATCCTGGTCGTAGATCCCTTTACAGGCACAAGGCGAAGGACAGTACAGAGGGGCACTAAATGGAATGAGATTGCACAAAATCTCAACAGCGTTCAGCACGTATCGTTCCGAGTCAACCAAAGGTCTGTGAGAGAAAGATACAACTTACTTGCAAGAGAATTTCGAAAGAAAACGAAGGACGAAGAATCGGCCAGTGGCATCGAAATTGATGACGTTAGTGAAATCGATAAGGCCCTTGAGGATATCGTAGAAGTTGAAGATGCAGCAGATCAAAATCAGCAGGATGTTACTGAGCAAAAATTGCAAAAAGAAAATAAAGATCGAGAAGATGCTGAATCGATTCGATTAATGGCCATGGAGACGTTGGGTGAAACTCAAAAACGAAAACTCGTTGATAATAAAGCCAATAAACCAGTAAAAAGGCGATCAAACGGCAGTGATGCAGTTAATTATTTGAGGGAAAATCTGCTGTAATGAATGAGTGGAAAAAAGAAGAGTTAGATTTGCAGAAACGGAGGCTGGAAGCTGATAGCAAGAAACATGATGAACTCATGCAAATGATGATGAATCAACAACAAATCCAACAACAACAACAAAAGCAACAAAATGATCTTATTCTGACTTTGTTAACACAGCTGAGCCATAGAAAGTAAGCTATGACAAACTATTATATATATAAAGTGTTCATATTCCATTTTAGCTTGGACTATATTGAAATATAGTTTCTAAAAACTGTTAGTTTTTACATAGTATTTAAAAAAAACAGTGAACATTGTTTTGTTATTCTATGAAGTCTTGAGATAACTAAACGTTTAAGGTTATATGGTTTTAATATTGTACTGTACTTTACAGAGTGTGCAATAAATGTTTTATCTACAATGTCTTTAGTCAATAGTTCCCAAAATACTCTTGTAGAGTGGGAGGGCTTAGACCAAAATACTCTGAGGTTTGATTTCCATAGAGGCAAGTTAATGCATTGCGTAGTATTGCACAAACAATATACATTTTCCCAACACAGCTCAGGCCAATTTTTAAATTCTTTTTAAAATCCATGAATTTAAAATAGTTCACGATGTCTCCAAAAAGCCATTCAACTGCTATGCGAACTTTGCTCATAGATTTGTATAATTCTTTCATCGGCTGAGTTAAAACAGCATTTCTGAATGGAGCCTGCAGGTGTACCCTTAATGGGTAAGCTGGGTCTCCATATAGACATAGAGGTTGGCCTTCTTCAGTAAAGCAAAATGTTTGAAGTTGGTTTAGTAGACCAGATTGTGCAAGCATAAAAGAGTCGTGCCTTCTTCCCTCTGAACAAATTAGAAATAATGCACCATCATGTATATACATAGTTAACCCAAGAATAAACCATGCTAAATTGATCTTTAAAAATAAACAAAAAAACTGCTCAAAACCTACTCACCCATAGGTCCATACAAATGACCAATCATTCCATTTGGCAGAGCAACAGATTGAAATTTAATAGCATGGACACGTTTGTGACCATTGTAGACAGCTCTTTGCAGTTTCCCTGGCCGACAAATTGCTCGGACAGTTCCATCAATAAACCCAACACAGTTATTGAGTGCAGCTCCTTTTAAAAAAATAGAACTAGCATAATCTTTTAGATTATCAGGGCTGAAAAGCATTTCATTCCAGTGAGAAACTCGGTGGCCGTGGTGATCATAAATGTAGTCTACAACTACATTTGTGATCATGCTCAGTTCAGGAACTGCCCTGCCAAACAGTGGTATCATGTCCGAGTATCTGCAAGGATAGGCAAAGCGTTTCAGAACAGCACATAATCCTTCAAGACCATCTGCCTTCGTTCCTTGAGGACATTTAAAATATTCAGGTATACCAAGAGCTTCAGCAAGCTCAGGTATATCATTTTTTCTGAATCGCAGCTCAGCTTCGCATTCAGTGTTTTCCAACTTTTCCAGACAAAATCTGCCGTATTCTTGGTAAGGAAACGCTGGATTTTTGGAAAAATTACTATCATACAACAACACAAACTCTTCGTCGTCGATAATGTTATCAAAATAGCTTTCAACTAAAAATTTTCTGGTCTTTTTGAAAGTTGTCATTTCGATTTTTGTGAATTCCCCGTCGTCTGTTTTTTTTTAATCTTAAATTTCCCGCCCTCAGACGACGACGGTAAGGCTAGATCCAGTCCGTAACAACCGTCGTCTATTATCCGTCGTCTAATCTTAAGGTCGCTAACATCCTCGTCCCCAGGGCCTAGCTCCGTTGCTCTCCACATAGGCCCTGGGATACGCTGTTGAATTTTGTTGGAATTCCGACAAAAAGGCTTGGTCGCATAGAATAGAATCAGGCTAAAATATAAGAAAACATGGCGAGCGCAAAGAATGCAAAATAATGCTGTATTGATGAAACCTTGCTTCAAGAAGCTGTAAATTTTTCACTAACCAAGACTAATAATTCTAACATAACATTAAAAAAGGAACAGAAAGACGCTATTCGTCATATTATTAATGGGAGAGATGTAATCGCCGTCCTGCCGTCGGTGACCGGGTTTGGAAAATCTCTGATATAGTATACCAACTTTTGCCACCTTTATTGGACTTTGTCAAAGCGAAAAGAAGCAATGTTTCTGCCGTATTGCCAGAAACAATCGTTATCGTAATTTCCCCATTAAACGCTGTTATGGGTGTAAAGGCAGGTGCAAATTCAGTTAGGGATTACTGAGTGGGTAATGGTCTTATAATAGGACCTGAACATATACTAGCAGTGGCAAGATAAATCATCACTGATGATCCTCAGCAAGGATTGTTGTCATGCTTTGAAAAACATTTCAATTATTCAGGCAAAAAGAGCCAACTCCCAACAGTTCAATATTATTTTAGTTTTATAAATGCTTTGCAAAATCTAAAATTCATATATAATATAGAAATATGGCAATCCTTCATGTATCCTAATACATTAGACCATAGACTATCGAAGTCTGTGATTCCTTTCGATATGTTTATAGGCTAACAGTATACTATACTTGGCATGCATACTGCTACAATCCCCAATCAAATCCATTCTTGTACACAATTTTTTTTTATTAATGGCATTATTAAAACAGAGTTTGTGTAAGAGAACCTGTCTAACAAAAAAACTGTGTCGGTTACGGTATTGCCTTTGTTGGTTAAATAAAGAAAATGACACTAGTAAATGAGCCAAAAAAAAGTGGTATCAGAGCTGAAACAGGTCAATTGAACCATGATCAGCCAATAACCAATCTCAATAAAAATCACCAGTAATTGACCTCCACTGATTGATTTTTGGTTTTCTGGAGAAATAGCTGTTTTACATACTTTCCCTTAACCAGTACATACTATCCATATTATTACCTGAAATTGTGGCAAAGGATCTTGAAACTCCTATTATGTATGGTAAACTAATTAGGGTTAATTTATCAAACACAAGGTAATGCCCAATGCTTGGTATCACAAGCAAATTCAAATTGCATGACTTGTAACACACAGCAGACTTGTAGCAACAGGCCTGTATGTAAGATTTTGAGCTAGGGGAGGGAGGTAGTGATGTTCCATGGGTAGGGAAAAGAGCAATTTGAGGAAAAAGAGCAACATGGCACAGTTCAAAATTCATAAGTTGAACATACTCTAGGGGGCAGCTGCCCCCTTGCACCCCTGCTGCATATGGCCCTGTGTAGCAATGTTCCAACAAATTATTAACAGGATATACACAAATTGTCTGTTACCAGCTCATCAACTGACAAGTTTTACAGGTCTGCAGCAAGGCTGTTCTCACAACTTATCATCCTCATGCAATTCAAGAACTTGTTAACATGTTTCCTGAAGCTACTTGACAAATTAAATCTTTCTGGAAGTTGTGAGATTATGCATTATTTTAATAATGTACAATAGTTAGTATCAATAGTTAAATATTTTAAATTGTCTACAATATAACTGATTGTTTATATGTAGTGGTAATTGAAATTTAAAGAGTTTTATACAAGGAGTCCCTGAACTATTATATATTTGATGTTGACAGATTATATTTGTTCTTTATATATTAAGTTTCAATATAGTTTTCAAAAAACATCGTTTCATATAGATATGAACAAAAATATTTGTTCTATAATGGACCAAGAGCTTCGTAAATGGTAATAAACATTGTCAATGAGAATAAATGTGTTGCATTTAGCAGTTGTTGAGACGATCAGCTTGTCGGACTAGCATAAAATTCGTTGTTGATTGGCGATTTCACCGCCAAAATTAATCAAATCAATGAAATCATTTAGCGTTGACTCCGATAGCTGTTTTATGGCATGTTTAACCAAGTGATTTCTTTCTTTTGGGTTCAAAATGAATAGCATACGACCTGTTCCAGTTTCTATGAATGTCTTTTAAAAAAATGTAATTCGTCTTGCGCTTTTATACCCCAGTTCGCTGTTTTATACATTGGATTCTAAAGAGGATGTAAAAGGCCCGCTCTTTACCAGCCGCCATGTTTGTTATCAGTGACCCGCAATAAAATTATCGCCCGCAACATTCTTTTAGTGTGAAAGAGCCAATCACGATGAAGGGATCAACAGCGTATCCACTGAGCTATATAATAATTCCTGGAGGACCGGCTCGCCACCAAAAAGTGTCCGCAAAAACATGGCGGATTTTGAGCTTTGCTGACGCCACATGGTTCCTTTTGCTCATGGTAGTTACCACTGACATACCGCGATACAAGGTGAAAAACTGTGTCCATCTCCCTCCTGGTTTTTATGAAAATATTTGAATACTTTTATTCATCTTTTTCGCTTCGCGTTTTTAAAATAACGATAAGAGAAAATGCCTTTTTGCTGCGCTTTTGGGTGCCACAATTCTTTTAACAAGGAAAAAAACTTTTCCTCTCACCGGTAAGTTTCCTCAATACAATATCAAATATTACTTGTAGTTTCAATAAACACAGAAATAGTTTTTTTCACAAATGTAATACCGGCCGAGATGGCGTCAAACTTTTTTACAGTATTACCTAAATACAATGTACACAGGCAGACAGATTGCAGATATATGACGGTTTTAAAAATTATTAATCAAATTAGCTATTATAAAGCGTTTCTTATAGACAGTTATAGTTCATAGGTGTATATGATATGAAAAAATGAAAAACTGTGGTACAGTAAAGGCGGTAAAACCAGTAAATACTGGCAGTGAACGTCAACTTGAGTATATTTATAGTTTTTATATGGCCCCTTTCTAAACATTAATTAGTTTGAAATGTAGATTGTAGATTTCACTTGTAGATTTCCTGATCTCGAAAAAAATCCTGAGTTGCATGCTGTATGGGTGGAGAACATGAATAAGGATGCAGCAGTAAAGTTTATTCCGACGAAAGGGAGTCGTCTTTGCTCGGAGCATTTCAGTGCGGACATGTTGCAACAGGTTGGACAAAGAATGATGCTGCTGCCAGATGCTGTCCCTACTCTATTTCAGGGCTCTCAGGTTTGTACTTTGCACTACTTGTACTACTACCAAAGTAAGGGAATAAGGAAAACCTATATGAATGATACCAGATATCACATAATACTGCAATTCCTTTTTGAAATTATTATCAGAGGCATGAATTATTGCCCTAGGTGTGAGCAGTGATATGTGAGCTATTGCTTTTATTCGATAAACTGTATAGAAAATGTCATAGCTAGCTGGAGTACAATAAAGTATTCTCATTTGCACTGTGCTCTAAGGATGGCAGTCAGCTCAACTGTAAATAATCTATTTTTGCCATATTTCACTTTATCCTGTTTTAAAAAAAAATAATATCCAACACAATTGGGGTGTCATGATTCTTAAATAGGCAAAATATTTATCAGGATTAATCTATTTAATTAGGCCCTGGCTGATTGAGGTTGACTGTTTTATATTAAAATTATCTTCATCTTCCAGCATATGGATTTGGAATTTTCAAAACTTGAAACATTAGGTAATCTGGAAAAAGAGTTCATGTAACCATGCAAACAACTTTAAATTTCATTTGGTTTACAAAATGCTAGAGATTGAGTGCTCAATATACCATGTACAGTAGGTAGAGCAGATATACTTCTTAGGTCATAATGATGCTAATCATATCAGCCCTACCTAATTTATTGACATTTTATACTGTCAGGTTATGGTGAATGAAGATCCTGTTGCAGTAGATGATCATTGCATTGGGAATGAGGTTATAGATGCAGGTTATGATGATAATGAGTCCATGGAAATAGACGTCATGGATGAAACAGTGAGTGATGTTGCTGATAAGGAAAGTATGCTCGAGATGATTGATGATGTATCCGAAGAGAACATGCTTAATATACAATCAGAGAGTATGGCTGACAATGTAAGTATGACTGAAAAAAAGAGAAAGCATTCTGATGTGGAAATTAGCATGAGTGAGGTAAGCAATTTGAATGAAACAGGTAAGAATGCTGTCAGTCATGATCACACATATTGTGTCAGTAAATCTCCCAGTAGTTTGAAACGACAAATGGATGATATGGTGGATGAAATGACAAACATGAAGAGAAGATTAACAACTTCCCAAAAGAAAGCCAGACGGCTAAAAAGAAAGGTTAGCACATTGACTGATGTGGTAAGTGAACTGAAAGAGAAAAATCTTATTAATAGTGATTGTGCTACTATATTAGAGAGTACCCTTTCCGGAGTTCCAAAGGAACTCATGAAAAGGATAACATCGCAAAAGAAAAATCCTGGCGCGTATCCGCCTGAGCTCAGGTCATTCGCACTGACCTTGAAATTTTATTCGACAAAGGCATATAATTATGTCAGGAAAAGCTTTAATCTAGGGTTGCCACACGTATCGGTGATTCGATCATGGTACACCTCGATGGACGGCGAACCTGGTTTCACGAAGGACGCGTTGACAGCTTTAAAAGCGAAAGTTTTAGCTGCAAAAAGAGATGGTGGCAAAGAAGTTGTTTGCGCTCTGAACTTGGACGAGATGTCCATACGTAAACATATCGAGTGGGATGGTAAGAGAATGCGTGGCTATGTCGACCTCGGAACGGGTATTGAAAATGACTCGCTGCCTGAAGCAACCGATGCGCTGGTGTACATGGCCGTTTGCGCAAATTCGAGATGGAAAATACCCTGTGGATATTTTCTGGTGAATGGACTGACTGGTGAACAGAAGGCAAACCTGACGAAAGAATGCATTGAGAAATTGCACGAGGTTGGAGTGAAGGTGATTTCATTCACATGCGATGGTCCTTCTACCCACCAGGCAATGTTGAAGGAGCTCGGAGCCAAGCTGTCAACTGATGACCTGCAAGTGTATTTCAAGCATCCGTGTGACCCCGAAGCCAAGATCTATGTGTTTTTAGATGCTTGTCACATGATAAAGTTAGTACGGAACGTCATGTCGGACTGGAAAGTTCTGAAAGATGAAGATGACAACACCATTCAGTGGCAATTTATCGAGAAATTGCATCAGTTGCAGGAATCGAAGGTTTACATCTAGCTAATAAGCTTCGAACAGCGCATATCAAGTGGAAGCCCCAGAAGATGAAGGTAAATCTTGCGGCGCAGGCGCTCAGTTCGAGCGTTGCTGATGCGTTAGAATACTGTGAAGGTAAGCTGAAATTACCACAATTTCAGGGATGTGGTCCAACAGTGAAGTTTATTCGTATTTTTGATCGCCTGTTTGATGTTCTGAATTCCAGAAACCCGCTGGCGAAGCATTACAAAGCGCCAATCAGGAGATCGAATTACCAGTACACGAAGAAGTTTCTGGACCAGGCGAGCGAGTACATTCGAAATCTGAAGGATCCAGAAGGTGTAACAGTTTTCAAGACAAGAAGGAAAACAGGATTTCTTGGTTTCCTTATTTGCATCAAATCAGTTTTGGGATTGACTGACGATATGGTTATGAGTGAGAAACCAGTCCTGGATTATCTCTTGACGTACAAGATGAGTCAAGATCACTTGGAGTTGTTCTTCGGTGCTGTGCGAGCATGCGGAGGGTGGAATAATAATCCAACCACACGCCAGTTTGTAGCCGCGTACAAACAACTGCTGATGAGACACAATATTGAAGGAGGACGTGGAAACTGCATCGCACAAGATGACACGGAAATATTGAATGCTCTTCAAGACCAGTGTGAAATTGACGAGTCATCCACTGGGATTTCAGATGTGACCATTGCCAGAAGATATGACTTAGAGTTGAGACAGCCAGCAGCCGTCGATCATGATTATTGTGACGTGTCCAATGTCATAGAACTGTCGGAATACAAAGAGGCTGCAATATCATACATCGCTGGGTATGTGGTGAAGATGGTAATGAAAAAGATCAAATGTACGAAATGTACAACGGTTTTGACGACGACCAAAGAGGAGATTCCAGATTTGTTCGTAACGTGGAAGTCGAATGGTGGTCTGATATTGCCATCACATGGCGTTATCAAGATCTGTGAAGAAACGGAGAAGTGCATCGTAAGAATGCTGAACTCAAATCAAGGTGGTTTACCGCAAAGCGCCGGGATTTCGAATGCGATTGCCAAGACTGTGTTAGAAATCTGTGTTAGAGGTGGGGTCTTCAGCACCTTAGATGAACACATGCTTGATTCGAGTGCAGACGATAACCACGTTCTTGCTTTGATCAAATGCTGCTGTCAGAGTTACGTGACGATCCGTATGCATCATTTATGTAAGTTGAGGAATGCAAGAATGCACGAGAAGGTAGTACGTAAACAGTTCTCAAAGCTTGTGCTATTCAAACACCAGTAGAGTTCACTGGACCTGGGCACTCTTGTGGTGCTTCCGAGGTGATTGCCCGTATACCTAGTAATACAATGTTCATAAATGGAATTCAATTATTCATTTGCCTAAATTATCAAATTGATTTACAATATCAATTACATTTTCTGATTCATGATTTATTTTAACAAGAAAAGAGGTTTGTAAACCTATAATTAGAAATTTGCCAAGATAGAAACTATTTCAAAACATGTGCTAGACATGAACATTGTATTTTGAGCGGTGGGGCGTCCTGGCACAATATAAGTTGTGTTGCGAGGAAGTGTGCATTGCTGATAATGCAAATTGTCAATGATACCTGCACATTGTGGATGTGTTCGAGGTTTGACAGAGTTTGTGAATTATTGTGTGGTGTTTGAATATATTGGTGGATGTAGCACACCTGCACATTTTACATATGCATAGACAGGTTTGACCCGTGAAATTCTAATAGCACGCATCAAATTATCACATAGGCAAGTATTAACTAATTGTTTTTCCTAGTTATGTTTCTATATTTAGTTAAATCTGCATTTCAGCAACTGTAATTTTACTTTCTGTTTATTTTTAGGAGAAGAAAAAAAGGTGCCAATTGAACATGTGACTTAATCAAATTGTGAAAAATAATTTCAAGGAATATGTACAATTACTTTACATTCAAATAATTTAATCATAAGATTAACATCAGGTGTTAAATTTTATAATTTTATTTAATTGCTATAAATAAGCAGTTAGTATATAATAATATACATAAATTTAAGACAGATTATTTTATATGAAGAGCCAACATCATAACTCTGCCAGGTATACTGTTTCCTTACACTTTTTTTGAATTGACAACTGCAAGACTCAAGAGATATATGTTGAAGATACAAATGGGAACCATATAAATTAGCACTGACTACTGATCAAGATCCTCCACTGACTACTATAGCACTGACTACTGATCAAGATCATCCAGGATCCTACAAAGTGTTAAAGCAATGGTACTTTTTCTGCAACAAGGCAAAGAGAAAGAAAGAAAATATGGAGCAGAAATGGTTGTCATACAGATATAAACAAATGATTATGTATCTTCTAAATGGATGAAAATAATATCATCATGGGCCTAACTGAACATATTTTATTCCATAACATATATTTGAAAATGCAACATACATGCCAGCTCTCAATTTCATTTCATAGCTGTCATTTTGCAAAGTATCATGGGGGAACGAACCTTCTTCTGGTCATGGATATAATAGATAGAGGAAACGAAATGAAATCAGGAAGTTACAAAATAATGTTAATGAAGAAGATTAATTAATTATCAACAAACTTTCACAGACAATGTGGAATGATTTTGGGGACAATTTGACTGAAGAAACAAGAACAGTTGCTAATTCATCAAAGGTGTCAGTGAAATATCACATGCTTTGGTTATAGTTATGAATGAATGTTCTCTTAGTATTTGTAAATTTATATATGTAAAAATAAAAAACTTTTAAAATTATATACTAGCGAGTACAATGTACATTATTTTATGTCAAACTGTAAGTAGTATGTATCATATATTTGTTTTCTGGAGGCTGGGATAGGCAAATAGAAATTGTTATTATTGTTTTGTAGTGATTGTAATATACTCGTGTTATGCGTTATGGGCGTTATGGCTCAACCCAGAAATACAATTTTTATTTTTGAACGTTTATATTACTTTTAGTTTATATTAGAAGGTTATTTAATTCAAGTGCTAAAACAGAAAGATGGTGTTTAGAGAAGGATCTTATGTGAGAGGTATGGTACACACCTGATATTATTACATTATACTGTATTCTGGCTGTCCACAATCGATCACCGTGTTATTGTTAGCTCCTTCCGTGCACACCCACACACCTCCGCTTTCACACCCCCAATATTGTTTATTTTAATGCCATACTGCCGATTCTAATTGTGCAGTAATATGCAATTATAATAAAACCAGATTGGCTATTTGGAATTAGATTGCCGCCTGCGTAAAATATGCAAGCGCGTGTTGGTAACTTGACGCATGTTCATTTCAGCTAAAAAATTTCCCTGCTCCGTTTGAATTTTACATATGCAGTCAAGTAGAAATAATTAATTCAAGTGATCGCAGTTCAAAGGAAGCATGCGATAAAAAAATATTTGTCGTAAAAATGGTAGATCAAACTCCGGAATTCAATTTATGTAAATTTCAATTGACAATTAGAAATCGTTCGAAGTGCAATACTTCATGTTGTATCAACATTGTTTTCTGTGTCTGCACCAATCAAAAATCAAATTTATTTCGCGCGCTTTTTATCCATACAGCTATATCCCATATATACAGGTTTTTGCAGCTAGGAAGGCATTAAATACAACGCTAAAAAGGTTTTTAGAGTGGCACTTTATTAATTATTTTTGACTTTATTAAATATTTAATGGTATATCTTCTATATAATTTTTTTCAAAGCAGGAAGATGGTCGATAACGGGAATGAAAACGATATTGATATAGGTACGTGAATGATTGTTGTATTTGAACTTCGGGTTTAGCTCAAAATCTTTTTACTGAGCCATGAGATTTCGTAGATAAATTGTCCTTCCAGAATATGATATATTTCGTGCTGGCATTTAAATAAATTATCTAGACCGACATTAATTATCTCCCACTTTAAGTCTTTATGTTGCGTTTTCGCCGCAGGGCAAGCAGATGAGGAAGAAATAGTCAAGGAAATCGAGGACATGGAAGGTACTTTTTTACGCACTTTCATGACAATTTTAATATCATGATTTAATGATAATCCCGCATTTTTTTAAAAACAGCAGGCTTGTCGGACCCCGAAGGCGAACTATAATGAGAGTCTGAAAGTAAAAGCGGTAAAACACCACGGTGCGATAAAGTAAAGTTTATCTTTCTATTTTCTAGTCGAGAAGGGGCAAAAAACAACGATTGAAGGTATTTGGGATTTATATTCTTTGACATTTTATCTTTTCTTGCTTTATTACTTACCAAGAGAGAGAGAGAGAAACCTACCGAGATTGAAAATAAACAAGAAGTAATGAACATGTAATGAAATTAAAGATTGTCTTTTATTTTCTAGATGAGAGCAGGCAAAAAGAAACGTTCAAAGGTATTATTTTCTATATATTTCGACATTTTACATTTTAATAGAACAATACCTTTTATATATGGGTGTCTTATGCCCGTTTCGAAATTTTCATTTTGCCTAATGTTTATGAGTTAAAGTCTTTCATTAAGTTCATTTGCATTCAATTTGGCACCTGAAAAGTTCAACGACTGAAACGGGTCTTAAGATGCATAAAACTATTTAACCTATAGAGCCTATTTAACAACCTTTTCCTTTAGGCGAGTGTCATAATTGTGGACTTAGAGGTCACAAGGCTTGGCAATGCAAGAGTGGTATGTTTTTATTATTTTTATATTTTAGTATATACAACGATTATTTTGAACAAGTGTCTTTTCTCCTTTATAGAAGGCAAGAGAAGTACAAAATTCAGAGGTATTGAAACTTTGCTTACCATGACTATGTTGTTTTTATTGTGGATATTTCCACAGTTCTAACCTAGCTAACAAATTTTCATTTCCAGGAAAATGTCATAATTGTGGCCTAACTGGCCATAAAGCAAGGGAATGTAAACAACGTACGTTTTCCTCTTTAGTTCATCTTGAATAAATATCCATTCACCTAAATGAAGCAATAACAACATATTTGTATTTAGACTCCACAAAACAAAAAATATATTTATTGTTTATTTATTGCAGCCAAAAAACGAGTTCAAAGCAGTAAGTCTAAAATTCCATGATTTACCTATTATTAACAAATTATATGGTGTCCTATTAGTTGGTAAATGCATCTTTGACAGCAGTAAATTTTCCTTTAACAGCATGACATATAAGTATTTTCAAGTACATTGATATTGAGGTCAGTTCCCACCTGGCACAACTGGACCAAGCTTTCTTGATCTATGTTAATATTAGTTACAAGTTAATATTATCTATGTTTGTTATGGGCTATTGATCACAACCCCTAATGAATAAATCTCCTTCCTTTGTAGAGAGAAAATGTTTCAATTGTGGCAGACTGGGCCATATTGCACATCAGTGCAAATACCAAAAAATGAAGCCGGCCCTTAAATACATTTTAAAAAATTGTACAAATTGTACAATGAACATTACTGGAGCCACTTTGCCCAACAAAGATTAATCTGGGTATCATCCGGCTATTTATAATTGTTCTTCATTGAATTTAATATTCTTTGTGAAATTTTTTAATTGTACTTGGGCCAGTTGTTCAAAGCTAATTAAGTGTTAACCCCGGGTTAAACTTTAATTCCCTGTTTGTTTCAAAAGATTTACAAAATATGGCTTTAGTCAGACCAGAAAATATTTATGAAAAAAGACATTGGTGAAGACTTAATTTATAAATAAGCAATTGAAATTGATGTAAAGATTTGCTTTAATTAACCCTTGGTTAAGCTGACCAGATTTTGGACAACCAGTCCCTGGATAATTACATATAAATTTAACATTTCACATGCCCATGTTAATCTTTGTTGGGCACATTGGCATTTATTAATTGTTGACTAGTGAATAATATTAATGTATCTCAATTCAACGCATAACAATGTAATTTTAAATTAAATTTACTGTAATCAGTGTTCAATAAAATATTGAAATCGTTCACTTAGTTATTCCTTACCTTTTAAACACGACGATGTCATCATCAAAGGTCACGATTAAAGAGCATTTCTTCTTATTATTGTTGCTTGGACTACAAAAGCAGTTTGGTAATTATAGAAACCACATGTTTATAACCAGCGAAATCAAAATATGGCTTTTAGATTTTTTGCCTTTGTATTTCAAATTTTTAATACAAATGACATTTATAAGAAAAAGTTATAGCTAATACGACTTAGCCAGCTTATTAAAAGCAAAGGGACAGTCGAAAAAGCCAACAACATTTGATTTTAGACGAAAATCACGACAAGTGCGAAGGTAATCTAAACAAAATTAACAAATATCTATTTGAATTCAATACGGTTAATGTGCGGCATATCCTAAGAGCGATTTTCATAAAAAAAATGGTACCTGCATTGGTCCTGCAATTCTGGTGCGGTTTGATTTAAAAATATATTCTCCTCAGTTCTTGAGATTTCAATACTTTGTTCAGATTTTACAGCAGACAAAGAACTTTTTTAGTATAAAAAATAATCTACGAGAGGACAAAATCCAGGGGGGAGAATGCTGCTGTAGCGGGCTCACAATTGAGCCTGGTCAGTGGTAAATACCATGGCCAAAAGGAACCATGTGGCGTCAGCAGAGCTTCTGCGGTTGCGCAGAAGGGCGAAGTCCGCCATGTTTTTGCGGACAAAAAGATGGCGGCGAAGTTACCGAAAAATGACGAGCCGGTCCTCCAGGAATTATTATATAGCTCAGTGAGCGTATCCCAGGGCCTATGTGGAGAGCAACGGAGCTAGACCCTGGGGACGAGGATGGGTCGCTAATAATTCCTGGAGGACCGGCTCCCTGCCAAATCGTGTCGCCAAAAACATGGCGGATTTTGAGCTTTGCTGACGCCACATGGTTCCTTTTGCTCATGGTGGTTACCACTGACATACCGCGATACACAGCCAAAAATTGATCAGGTTGTTCGGTGTTGTTTATCGAACAATGCCTGAACAACACTGTTATCAATGTTGAACAACGTTGTTCAACCGACAATCGTTATCAACATTGTTCTAACAACTTGTTCACGCTTGATCAACGAACAATGGTTCAACAACATGATGGAACAAACTGCAACAGGGTTGATGAAACATGCTTGACAAATGCTGTCAGAACAATGTTGTTCAGCGCTGTTTATTCATCAAGCGTCAACAATAATGTTCGAACAAGCGGGAACAACATTGACGAAACAACAAGTTGTTCTCAACTGTTCGAACAACCTTTATAAGCATTGTTGTCAATGTTGAATATTTATTGACTTCCGCCTTGACCTTGTGTAATGTGTCAGGCATTTGGCGGGCGTTAGCGACCCGCGACGATGACTGTACTGATTCGATCATATTTGACAGTTTGTTTTGAATCACTTCAACGCGCCTTTGTATGGCAGATTTAGTTTTATTTTAAACTAAGAGTACTTGGAAACTATTTACGTTCGCATTCTAAAACATCCAACAGAATGTATTCATATCAGTCGCTTGGTCATTGACTTTATAGGCCGTATTCTGTGGCCGATTATCGTTCAGTTTCGTTGCCCCCCTTCGGGCACTACTTGAAAACACGATAGAAAATTAGGATAAATTATAGAAAGTCTAAATTCACTTGTTTTCACCTTCACAAACCTGCAGTTTTCGAGCATTTCATCTTCGAAAAATCAGTAAATTTGCATGTTTTGCAATACACCGACGCCATTTTGATTCAGGAAATGTATTGGATACTTGGTGTAATATACGACATATATTGCAGATTCAGCAGTTTTATACCAGGATTTAAATGAAGTTTCCAGCATTTTTGCGGGGCAAGCAGGTTTCAACAAGGAAGCTTTGAGTCAAGTTTTACGAGGTTTTTCACAAATTTTCATAGTTTTTCTAAACTAAATTAGTCAGAGAACAGACAAAATTAATCGGAAAAACATCCGACATTTTGTGATTTTTTTATAGCATTCTGCTCTTGGAATTTACAAATAAATAAGAACAACTTTATTTACACGCATCAAAATATCCACGAGCGTTTTCTTTCTAGTCAATTTATATAAAATAATTACTACACAATTCTTTTAATCTGGGAAAATCTGGAGCGTGTTCTCCCTCCCATGCTGCAGCAACGCTTTTACAGGTTAAAAGCCAACGCTTCTCTTTCTTCTTAGAATTGAATTGTGGTAATTCTTCCATTGCTGATCTTTCTTTCTTTGACCCGAAAAGAAAACACATAACAAATTGGCAGACAACAAAGTCTGGAATTTTGCAAATAAGAAAAGAACGCATTATCCTACAACCTTACTACCCCATACACTGATGCTACTCTCCTTTATAATAAACTAACTTGCTATAGTTAAAACTATATAATACAGAAACAACATACTGCGTATCTTAAATCAATTTCAACCAAATAAAATTGTGGGAGAATTACAAGAGCCTTATGATTTCAAAACACAAATGAAACGTTGAACTCAACCCTTTTAATCGGACAGCTAATACCACAACTCATCATCGACGTCATCTCCGAAATCCAGAATAGATCCTGATCCTTCAAGTTCATCATCGTCATCAGATTGAGCCAGGCCATAACTGCTATTATTCTCATTACCATCTTCAACCACTGCATTCTGGCAATCACCACACAAACATAGGTCGGTGCATTTTAAGTCAGCCTTTTTGCAGGAATAACGCATGGTCGAGCATCCAGTCTTGCACTTTCACTCAGCACACTCAATTTAAGATCGCGGAGCGGGTGGGCGTGTCATCCAAGTTATCTCTAGCTCTTTATCGTCAAACGTCCAGCCATTGCCAACCGGTGATGAAAGATCAATTTCTGCACTTAAACACTGATACTATGATGCTGCTTGATTGCTAATGCCATTACCGGTAAAAGCATGAAAGCCTGGTAAACAAGGAGCAACATCTACGCCCAAGAATTTCGAGATAATTGCTACAAATACGCAACGACGTCCATCTCCCGTGCCAGTCAAAAGAAAATCTCTTTTTGCATCTGTTGTTGCATGGTAATCGCAGGTATAAGAACATCTGTATCAGGGATTTTGATAACAACTTTATCGTACGTTGCTGCTGCGTGGTTAGCATGTAGAATTAAACGAGTGTCTGCTTTTTCGTGGTTGCTATGAAGCGAAGACACCTCATTACTTGTAACACTATCGTTCGGGGAATCACCGGGATATAAAACATAGCATCTTTCTTTAGCAGTTACGTACATAGTTGAAATGGAAAACCACCGGGAGGAGTCCCATCACCTCCAGTGTTCACATAAAAAATATATGAGGGATTCCTTGTTTTCACCGGATCTTAAACACTTTTTCCACTATTTTGGAACACTCTGATCTTTTCCGAAGATGTGAACTTTCTGGACTCCTTTTTCACTTTTCAGCTCTTCGTTGTCTCTCTGCATCATCGCCAAATGTTTTGCATTTTCCTTTCATCGACTGAATAACATTGACTTCTGGATTTCCAGATTCAGGTTCCAATACTTCAGCAAGTTTAGACTGGGCCAACTTGGCAGTTTTCACAAGTCCTCTCACGTTTTCATAAGGAAAATGTTTGAAATTTGTTCTCTTTCAACTTCGTAAAGATGTCTGGGTCTTCGCTCAAAAAATTCGTTTTTTTAGTGGATTGATGATAATAAGATAAAGGCGTTGGTAATTAACTTTGTAAAAAAACTGAGATGTTGTAAATAGTTTTGTTGAGAAAACGTGTGTATTATAAAAGTAGTTAATATAAAACAAAGGTTAAGCAGGAAAGGAATTGTGTAGTAATTATTTCATATAACTTGACTGAAACAAAACGCCCGTGGATGATTTTGATGCGTGTAAGCAAAATTGTCTAAGTCTTCTCTGACTAATTTAGTTTAGAAAAACTATGAAAATTTGTGAAAAACCTCGTAAAACTTGACTCAAAGCTTCCTTGTTGAAACCTGCTTGCCCCGCAAAAATGCTGGAAACTTCATTTAAATCCTGGTATAAAACTGCTGAATCTGCAATATATGTCGTATATTACACCAAGTATCCAATACATTTCCTGAATCAAAATGGCGTCGGTGTATTGCAAAACATGCAAATTTACTGATTTTTCGAAGATGAAATGCTCGAAAACTGCAGGTTTGTGAAGGTGAAAACAAGTGAATTTAGACTTTCTATAATTTATCCTAATTTTCTATCGTGTTTTCAAGTAGTGCCCGAAGGGGGGCAACGAAAATCGTTTTCTAAGCGACTTTTCGTGCCAGAGAATACGGCCTATTAGATCATGTGAATTATGTCATCGTTGGAAACTCTTGAAAAGGTCCTCGTGGTTGGAAATTAGAATCCTCGTCAAACAAGTATACCACTATGCCAGTCTGAAATTCAAAGCCTTTACAAGGAGATATTGATGACGGCGGTAGCGATCAAGACTTATTACCACTTTATAATATTCTATCACATCCGACTTTATAATATTCTCAAAGACTCAAAGTGGATTGTAAATTATCCTTTTCTGACGACCAAATGGCGCACTGTCATTGATGGCCGCAAGTGATTGTTAAAATATGGTAATGAAAAATGTTCTTCTTCTAAGCAGCAAACGAAAAATTTATTGACAACTATTGATTGCTACTATTATTATTACTAATGTTTCTAAATAACTGATATTTTTCAAAATTCAAATCAACGTCATTTTTTAAATTTTTTAAATTGTTTTTATCCTCTTCATTCTTCATGTAGGATTTCCTCCCACTCGGATGCAGAAGGCCCTCTTGCACCATATCTTCTTTCCTTCCATGTTTGGAAATTAATCCAAAACTTATCATCCTTCACGCAATCATCCCTTCCGGTTTCAGCCACATATACTTTCTGGAAAAAAGGAAGGATAATGGTGAGTTAACGTTGAGAAAACTGTTCTTTTGCTGTTGTTTTTTGAGTACATTTAATCTAATCTACATACATCAAGCCTAGTTTCTAAAGTCAAATTCAAAAAACCTTGCTCCACTGCATGGTATGGTAAATTTTGCCAAAAAGGTTACCATTACATGCTAATTTACAAACCTATTTCCCCAATTACATAATCCTATAGCACTGGTAGTTAGATACTAGTAAATAGATAACTAATAGTTTTTTTTATTGGATCAGGCCATCCAAACATGGAAACCATAAAGTAATTGTTTAATCATATATAATCTTTTTATATAGAATGGAATTAATTTGATCTTGCAACAAGCAAGAAGTACAAATTATGTGTGATAATCTTACCACAAGAGCAGTGTGATGATGCACTGTACTCTCTAGAGTAGCATTGAACTTCACACCTAGCAGCCCACAAATCTTTGAAGAGAGCTCCTTGATTGAAGCTTTTTCCATGGCTGACCAGTTCCCAATTCCAAGTATCTGAGGTGGAGAGACATTTAATTTACTAAATTTATTATTTAAACACTTATTTAATCAAGAAGCATTTTGGATTGATGAAATTTTACCCTTCTCCTCTCTTCACTTCTCCAATATGTGAACTTTTTCCCCTCAAATTTGTCAACCTTGCTCATTAGCTCTTCAATTTTTAGCCCGTATGGTGAGTTCTCGAACTCAATCCGTAGTTGTTCCTTAATTCAAAATCATATCATAATATTGCATAAAACAAAATGTAGTGTATTTCTGAAAATATTTAGTGTTGTTATGCATATGTATGTATGTGTGTATGTACACACTTACAGTCTTGCTTTCATTGGTCTTGGGAAACCGTCCAAGTTGAATGTATGCCTTTGCCAATATTTTCGTTACATTTGTCTGTTATAATAGTTTTAGTAAGTAGATTATAAAAAAAGAATAAAGTCTTATGTGCCAAATATAACGCAAAAAATGCATGGTTGTTTATAAATAAATACTGACTGCATGGCTTGATTTGGCCAAGTCAAATTCTTGCTTGTCAAACTTGGAGCCCAGATTCTTTATTGCCTTCTCCATTGTTGCCTGCCGTTTCTGCACGTCTTTGACCATTTCTTTCAGCTCTCTCAATTCCTTTAGATCATCGTCTCCGTGTCCGGCTCTCTCAGTAAATTCGGGTCTTGCGTTTCGGAATCATCTGGCAAAAAAATGTCAAAGTTTATTCAGTACTATTATGTCTATGTACAGACAATTTCAGAACAATACTAAATATTAAAATGTAATATTGTTTACCGTCAAATATATTAGCAGGAAAGTTCCCACGGCCATACGGTCCTCTCCTCTGACTTTGTGCGTTTCTCGTGCTGCCGTTGAGGGCAATGTCAACATCGTTCAGCAAATTGTTTCGCCTACAGTGTTTCGGAAATTATAAGACCAGATATTCGAAATAATGATGAAACGCGTCAATTTATATTATATTTACCTGCGTGAAGCTCCCAATGCTCTTAATTCATTGGTTGTCATTTTTCAAATTAAATATGGCGCGAAATTTGGCCTTAAAAAACTCTGCTTTAAAATATGTTTTAGCAAAAGCATCCATGCGTTGTTGTCCTTTACTGGCTCGACCAATCAGGTACAAGTACCTACGTAAATCAACCAATCAAAATCGCTAAATGCGAAGCGGGAAAATTTTTTGCCAGGCAAGCACGTCGCGGGGAATTTAACAAAACAAAGGGATATTTAATTTGGTAAATAAAAATTCTTGATTTAATTTGAACGCAAAAATGAAAAAAAGAACATGTCGATATCATTGTGACATCTGTGCAGTTAATTTTGAGTTCGTGGGATAGGTATTCTGTCCATTTAACCTCAAGAGGACATCGTATGAAACAGCTCGCGACAAGGACGACGACACAAAATATCCAGCTGGTTTCTGACACATTTGAACCCACCGACGTATATGCCACAAGTCAACAGGAATTTTATTCATGCAAGAACCAATGTGCGAAGATATTAGCTTTGAGAATAACTCTGACAGTGGAAGCGACGATACTTTCAGTGACGTCGCCCTGAGCGACTCTGAGCCGGAGCAAAGCGATAGCGAGGAAGAAAGCGACAGAGAAAATATGCTACGACCATCTGAGCAAGGCAACGGCTTATACTTTCCGTTTCCGTCTGAGATATTTTTTCTGCTTTACAGCTACGTCCATAACGTTTCCCGACCGAAGGTAATTTTTCATTTATCATCAAAGAATTGAATTGAATAAAGCGATTTGACGATTTTTGCCCTGATGTAGTGTATGACGAAGTGTTTCTAGTTTTCAAAGCCGGGTTAACTTTACCATAACTCTGATCGCAGGTACTTCTGAATTCGCTCCACCGCGGATGGAGGACTAAAAAAAGCCACCAGCACCGCGAAAGGTTTCCTAAATAGCCGCGTAACACCAATAACAAGGCGTGAAACACATGTAAAAATAATGTGTTTTACGCCTTGTTATTGGTGTTGGGCGCACACATAGATAAAAGCCTCTATATAAGCGCCCTGGTCCTGGCGTATTATGCGTCTTTAGTAGTTGAAAACGGCCATTAATTATTTCAGTCTGGAGTAAAACATCAATTCTTGTCGTACAACCAGTCAAACACACACCGAACTACAGCAGCGAGTTTCATCTACAGATAAGTTGCAAGGTTTCCCTCTCCAAGATTATTTGTTTCATGCTAAAACAGTGTGCATGCATTGCACATGAACCTATTTCATAGCTTCTAGGGGCGGCAGAACAGGGGCTAAGAAGTACATTTGTAACAATTTTCAAATAAATTTTTAGAATATCGATACTATATTCGTATTTCTGGTTGGCATGGTTAAATTTTTTTATCATTTTTTTATCATCAGTTACTGCTCTCCATTTTCATAACCAAATAGTTCGCAAAAGAAAACAATAATGCAATAGCTATTTATACCATCAATTGTAATCATTATAATCTAGTCAATTCTGCTATTTAAATTGCTACTTTCAGTCTCGTGCAGACCTAGATTTTCTGTGGATGATATTCAAGAAACTTCACGTAGATGTTCCTTCCCTTAATTCAGTGATTAATTTCAAAATTAAGGGAGTAGAGGAGTTACTACAGCCACAAAAGGTAAATATTACACGATGCGGTTGGGTTTCCATGTCTTCCTGTATTATATACAGATTAAAGCCCGACTAAGATCGTTAAAAAAAGGCCAATGTACAAAGTGCAATTAAGGCCATTTATTAACACAGGTAAACATTTCAATTTCTAGGATTATTACAACGGCTATCCATATTACTGGTTACGGCCTTCGGATATCGTTCAACTTCAACTCGCAATACCAACCAGAGCCAGTGCGCTTATGAGATTTCCAGAAGAGACGACACGTATATTAACGAGATGCCACAGGTTAGATTTATAGGTACAACCATAGGCGTACGGGCAGATTTTCATACGTACGGGGGCTGGACTAAATTTGTCCGAAGACATGACGTCATAGATTTCGTGACGTCATCATAAAATTATATGATCTGAGAAGACCACAGGTGACAGACTTTCCTTTGAAAGGCTATCATTTACAGTCTGTGGATATGCGTAAGAATCGAAACCAAATCCAATCTACGCTATTTGTAGTAAACCTGTAAAAATTGAACTTGTTGAAATACCTCTAAATAGACCGTTGTAACGTCGTTGCCTGAATGACAAGACACGTTTTGCCCGAAAAGGAGGAGGGGGAGCCCAGCTTCACTTTCCCGTACGCCTATGGGTACAACTTTGTCCAAATGTTTTATACCATGCACACGAAGCAAGATAACGCGTACACTGAACTGCAGAATGAACAGTACATGTATTCCCTTTGATACAGGGACGCAAGTGGTTGGAAAACGAAGACTTTCAAAGCTCATCGATCTCTGTGAACGGAACGACGTATTATCTGAAAGATATCGTGAAATTTTTATCTGACGGGGATATATATATAGGAAAACTAACCAAATTCTTCGCTAAGGTAAGTGTGCAGTGCTTTAAAAACAGATTCCATTAAGATTGTCCGGCTTCCAGTCCTCTCCGAACACGGAACGGATGATGGGTTGTCGATTTTTTAGACCCATATATTAGGTTGGCTTTCCACGTTTACCTAGGAACTTTAGAGAATAAGGGGCTACGATTTTGGAAAGATAATCATACTCGAATCAGCTGAACTATATTTGTAACCGGCTTGCGACTTCTATAGTGTCAGTTTAATTTTAGGTCATTCGCAACCAAACGGAAATTTTGACAAAAATCGAATATATTCAAGATGAAGGGGATGGACGTTATTGCATTTGTCCAGATGTGATAGTGACCATCCATACTTCCAGTATCCAATGTAAAGTTGATCTACATCCTCGTCAAATAAAGCAGAAATATGTAAACGAACAAGCGTCTGAAGTATCAGAACAGGTTTGCGCAACTAATAAACTCCTAAACAGTAGCATATATTTATGTAAATCCATACGCGGTTTCTTGTTCTTTGTATAATAACGTTTTATTATTAAAACCTTTTTATCACAGGAAGCCAAAGACATTCTTGCACCACACGTCGACAGGATACAATCCGGTGGAAAAAATCCGACTTCCACAGTTCCGTTGCTCGTCTTTAGCGACGAAACAAGCGGAAACACAACGAAGAAATGGAATCGGTTGGAGAGTTTCTCGATGAGTTTGGCGGGCCTTCCACGAAACGAATTTCGAAAAATCGAAAACATTCACTTTATTAGCACATCTAACGTAGTTCCGTCTGTTGCACTTGGGAAATCCATTGCCTGTGACCTACAAGGTAGAGTCAAAATTTCAAATTATGGTTTAAAACGACAAAAAATAGTGCTACATGCTCAGTCTTTTTGTCTCATTTCGTTGCAGAACTCGAAGAAGGTAAATTAATGTACGACGCGCATTTTAATGAGAACATTTTGGTAAAGTCACCTGTATTATGCGTGTTAGCGGACAATCCACGGGCATCAGAATTCGAACATCACTTGGGAAGCTGTGCAAACAAATTTTGTAGAAAGTGTAAAGTACGTTAATTTCTATATACTTGATAAAAAGCAACTTCCAAATTCGTGACTCGAAATTCGCGGTTTCGGAAATCTAGAGGCAATAAATGGGGGAGAGGCTCTGCCCTTTTGCGTTTTAATACACGATTTTACATGTTATACATGCATGTGTGCGCGAGGTTAAAACATTTAATTACACCATAGGCAACATCTGATAATGGAACAGAAATTCAAGAAATACGAAGTGATGAATACGTTCAAGAGAAGATCCATGAAATACAAGATTGTCCGTATGTTAATAAAAACCCGTTTATTTTAAAATTTTGACTTACCATAGAAATTTGAAACCGTATTTACCCACAGTAAAATTCTTGTTGCCAACACTAGAACTGAAAACCAGAAAAAAATTAAAAGAAGTGAATGCGGAGTAACAGAACAAGGCGGAGCGTTCGACAAGCTGAAGTGCTTTCGTGGAAATAAGTATGTATGCAGATACGGTTCGAAATGTGTGGCGACCCAAATGTGCGATTACTGGCATTTTCACCTTGCAAAACTTGTAGACAGTACATTACTACTGTCTACTACTACTACTGTCTACAATACTACAGTTGAAGGTGTTCTTTAGGTGGTAATAATACCCTTTTGTAAATTTGTGGGATATAAGCAGCAACTTCTATAGCACCTGTTCTATTGGTACTATTAATTACATTTTGCTTTTATTTAGCAAAACTCCTATTGAAATACTGCATACAATTCTACTTGGGCCTGTTAAGTATATGCTATCCAACACAATTCAATCCCTACCTCAGCAATTGAAAAACCAGCTCCATGCAAAGATTCAAGCACTTGACATGAGTGCATTTTCAGCCACAATCAGGGGAAACATCACAAGAAACTATGGCTCATATGTTGGAAGAGATTACAAATTGTGGATGCAAGTTGCTGTCTTTGTTCTGCAAGATATCATTCCATTTGAACAACTCTTGGTCTGGGAATTGTTGAGCGAGGTATAACACCAGATACATAATACATGTGCTGAAAGGAATATAGGAAACATAACATATTAAC